TAATAGAAATCAAATCTTTATGAAATAAATTCTTGATACAAGAATCGCCCACTGTAGACATGAAATAAAATGTAGATTTACTACAACCAAAACAATAAACAATGGTAATAATAAAGAAAGGTGTGCAACAGATTTATCTTACAATTCTTACTTTATTGTAAAGTCTATGCCTGCATTCTGCATACTAACACATTCTTTATATACATTATTTAACCTCTATCCACTTTCATCACTTCAATACAACATAGAATGCTTAATAATATATATAATGTAGTTTATACTAGGACTTCAAGATGTAACATAGAAAAGATGTTTATTATACCAATGCATTATCCTGAAGGAGGAAGTCAACCCAACTATATTCACATCAAATGTACACTCAATTCAATTACTAAATTCAGTTTCCAAATGGTTTAAATCACCATTCTCAGTAATTTGCACAATATGTGACATGCAAGAATTTAATCAAGTATTCTGCAACGTTTCCAGCAATTTATACAGAAATACCAATCAAGAGAGTATAATTTCTTATTGTATTAACATATCCAAATTTAACACAAATCTTTCTCTAAACATTTTTCTATTGCAAATTAAATCACATTTTATTATTACTAATAAGCATTATATGCATACAAGTCATTGACAACCCACAAAATAGAACAAAAATCAATGTATCTTCTGCTAGCATTTGAAAAGGAATATTTGCACCAATAAAGTTATCTAGATAGCCATTGAATCTAAATACCCCCCAAAATTGAAAATATAAGGACCTTTTGCAAAGTGCAGATTTCAAAAGGAATGGCAAACTATCATCTATGTCTCTGAGATTGTCACCTTATTTACTATAACCATAATTTATGCATCTACTTTTCTATTCAATAAACCTTGATTTTTTTTTTCTTTTTAGTCCTTTTCATGAGCAAGATTAGAACAACAGGTCATCCATTTTCTTGAAAGCATTCCAAGGTCAAAAATCAAATCTGGCTCCATGCAATATCTTACATTATTTTAAACTTTTAGAAGATTTTATGTACCCATTAAGTAAAGAATGAGAGTCATTAAACAAAAAAGAAGAAAAGAAAAAAAAAAATCCAACCACATAATTTTCTTAATATGGGGAAAAAAATAGAAAAAATATAGTAACAAGAACAATAATAATGATAATAATAATAATAATAATATTCAAAACAATAAAAGAAATAAACTAACAATAAGTAACTGAGAGGATTTTCCTTTATTAGCTTTGTTTTTCATGTGTGTGGTCCATCCAGACCTTACAAGATGTATGGCAAGATTAATAACAAAATTCATACACTCTTACATACAATAAAAAAAACAAAAAACAAAACAAAAAAGAAAAAAATACATAAAACAAATATACATGGTAAATTAGACATATCCTATTGACACAACACATAATAAAAAATATTCTCATGTTCATCTCTGTGTCAATCTGCTTACAGCTGAATACAACTCTTCTCTGAGATACAAAAAAGTGTCTATTGCATTACTACTGAGATCTGTTTCTGGAAAATGTAGACAGAAAATACTAAGGAAAAGAGTGACAAAAACAAAGAGGAAACAGAGTGAGTCGTGAAAATGAAAGAAGAGCAAAGGATTGCCAAATCACAAAAACACCATTGCATTTTCTTACCATACCTGTAACAATATTCCATTACCAGCTATTAGTCTTCTGGTATTCCGAGTTGATATTCAGTTTGAAGTCAAGAGTATTGTACATAATATTTTTTTTTTTTTTTCATAAAATTGAGAAACTGATAAGTCTAGGCAAAGTCTGTCAGTGAAATAAGGCATCCAGCACCAAAGGAAACTTGCAAAGCAGATTCATAAAACACAAAAACTTTATCTATGACCATAAAATACCCACCGAAAAGCACTTTCTTCATCATCATACACTTCATAAAAATAAAACAATAAAAAAAAGGAAATTCTCTGATGTGCTATTACAGATAATAACACAATCTCACTGAATTTATATCTTCCTAGAAAAATAAAGAAAAAATGAAGATAGGAAAATATGTGAAACTACAAAAAAGTTGAATCTTCCATTCTTTGGCCTTTATAACACTAATTCCATAATTTATCTTTCAACTGAGAAAAAAAAAACTGAAATGAATATTTTTTAGGCAAAGGAAAATATGTGAAACTACAAAAAAGTTGAATCTCCCATTCTTTGGCCTTTATAACACTAATTCCATAACTTATCTTTCAACTGAGAAAAAAAAAACTGAAACAAATATTTTTTAGGCTACTGAAGCCAAAAGGGCATGTACACATGCCCTGTCCACTGAGACTATTTCATTAATCTGGTTAACCCCTACAATCCTGATGACATGACCATTACATCATGAAAAAATTTGGCTTGAGAAGCGAATTACACAACAAACAAAATATTACTTATTGTTATTATTATTGCAATGAGTTATGGACTACCTAGAGAGATGATATGGTATCTGTGCTTAAAAAGTAAGCAAATCAAATGACAAATATAGACATTTGGGGGAAAAAAAAAGAAAAAAAAAAAGAAAGAAAAAAGAAAAAAAGAAAAAAAAAGGCTTATGCAAAAAAGAGAAAATAAAATTACAAAGGGAGGGCATGGCATCTTGTCATTGCAGATAAGTATTCATATATGCCCTGCCTACAAGTCTCACACCCATCAGTGTGGGCGCTCAAGTAAACTTAATGCCCATATTTTGAGTCACATGCAGGCAGTGAAGCATCTGGATCCAAGGGGTTAACATATAGTTATTTGTAATTAGTTATTATATCTTGTCCCCTGTTTACCCTGTTCCTAAAATTTTCAGAAACATTTCTATTCTCATGACTATTATTGATAACATAATAATAATAATAATAATAATAATAATAATAATAATAATAATAATAACACTGTTTATAATAATACCACTCATAACAATAAAAACAGCATTAGAATTAAAACTTCTCCAAAGAATTAAAGGAATCGGGTAAATAGGTGAGGTCAGGTTGGTGACTAAGCGCTTGTGGAACCATCTATAAGTAAACAGAATTAACAATATATGTACCTGGCACCAATGGGTTAATAAATCTATTAACATAAAATAAAGTTTTTTTTTCATGCATTTCCAGTGTAGAAAGAAACAGAACAATGCAGCCTTTGTAAAGACAAATAAGCCTCCATGGATGCAATGAAGAAGGACTTCTAAACACAAAGAAATTATTGATAGATGATTAACTTCTGAACGAAAGATACGAGAAACTCATTCCCACATATGGTTGCAAACTTTAGTTAAGAATTCCAATAAAGAATGAGTAATAAACAAATAATTCTTCCTCTTTATAACAAATCAAGCATAATCATTCACAGAGGTGCACATCCAAGTTCATTACAGCTTTAAAGTTAATAGCAGATATCTTCCTTTGCTAATGTCATAAATGTCTTCAGGATTTTTCAAGAAAAGATTCAACATTAATATGCATTAATCAAGCTTCAGGAATATCTAAAAATCAAAACATGAATGTAAAAATACTAATGAAAAACATGATAATAAAAATGATAATCATCATAATAATATATATATACTTTCTAAAATACAATTATTATCCAGTAAAAATAAATAACATTTTTCTTCTAGCCAATGCTGCACACATCAATGCAGAAAAAAAATACATACCAAAAGAATAGAAAGGCTAAAAAATAAAAATAAAAAGTGTGACATCAAATAAATTCTGAAAAAAATGGGATAAAATCATACATTCACATTCTCAGTTTTAAAAATGTGTTCATAAAAAAACTATAATCTTAAGAAAGACAAATTTATACTGATTATATATATATAATATAAATATATAATTAAGTTTTACTTTGCCTTCTTGAGATAAATAATATCAAATATAAGAACACATTCGTTGAAATCTACTGACCTCTATCCTTAAGGAGGCAAGTTGTATAGTAAATATTTTTTAGAAATAAAACAGCATGTCAACCTAAAATACTGACCATTAATAAGCCAAGACCATACATCTTTCAAATGTATTTGGTTGACTAGGAAATGAAAAATAAAACTTTACACAACTCATAAAAATTAACTGTTGCCCATTTACCTCAAATCTTGATGACAACACAGTCTTAAACATATGTACTTTGTTCATACAACAATAATATGATGCACTGATTTACTGACTGACTGCAATCACACAGGAACTATCAACCTTTATTTCCCTAAGTACCAATGAGACTGCGGCATTGTGAGTGAGATAGGGTTTGAATGCGATGGCAGGTGCATGGAAGAGAGAAGAGAAATTAATGCCCTCGTAATACTTGTGACTAGTTTCGTATTTTGGCTTCACCATCTACCACTAAAGCAATGGGTCAAGTCTTTCTAACTGTAAAAGAGTAACCAAGAAATCCTAGGAAGTTGTGTCTACCTGTACATGACACAACATAATGAGGATGTTGCATGTCTGACAGAGCACACAAATGCTGAGTGCTGTGAATGCTGTGCTTTGTTCATGCACATTAACTTTCTCACCCTCCCTGTAAATTTTTCTGTAATATTACCGTACTAAGGTTTGTCCCAAAAGCTCATTAGTGCTTCCTACTTATAATAGACAACAACAGAACGGTGATCATGTGCTATACTTGATCACTCGATTATCCTCAGAATTGTCACATGTGCATAATTTATTTTCAAAATGAGAAAAGAAAGTGAAAAGAAAAAAGAATCAACTGTACCTGAATTTTCTACCCTGCATAAGATCTATTTTCTATGACCATTTATAAAGGAAAAGATTATGTTCACTTGTGTATTTCTTGTGTCAAATTATATCACATTATAATGGTTAATCTAATAACAAAAAAAAAAAAAAAAAAATTAATATGTTATGATAAATATATTCCTTTACTATCCAGCATTTACTCACCCATGATACAACTACCTTCTCTATGCGGAGCAATATTACATTTTTCCAGGTTCTGTACATAAGCGCATTTGCTAATGAACTAATTCATGAGGTTTTCATGTTGCAATATTCATGTCCACTAAAAAAAAAATTACGACAAATTTTAAGAGACGGGGGAAAAAAAAGAAGAGATAAAAACAAGGATTCTTCCCCGATTTCTAATCATGTCACACTGACTGAGTACAGCCAAAGGACAGTATTAAACTGGCTACAAATGGCACTGACTACAATGCTCTACAGTAACTGACTGTACTGGAAAGAAAGAGAAAGGTTGTGTTGAGAAGAGGAAATGCTAATAATAACTAATAATAATAATTATGTGAATAATAAAGATAATATTAATACTGATAATGATGATAATAGAATTAAAATTAAAAGAATAAAAAATGAAAAAAAGGAATATAATAACTATAATAATAATATTAAACCATCATAAAAACAATATTAAGTACTAACACACTGACAATAACATACAAAAACAATGTTGAAAATAATAAATCCTAAAGAAAATAATTATATCAACATTAGACATACCTCCAAAAGTGTTTCTATCTACAAACAAAATCTCTCACTCACTGATGGCACTACACAGGTTCCCTCTTCCGTAAAAGATAGTGAAGAGCACAAGGAGAACCAGCTCTTCCTGTGCTCTGAAGCAACCACTCATGCACTTGGAATTAAGGCATACAACAAATATGACACAGTGTGTAATAAAAGATTAAATCTGGGAATGGCATCTGCAGTAAAAGCTTCACTAAGACTTCAATCATGATATGATCAAGAGAAATGTATATGAAGCCCATGTTAGTGCTAGACTCTTTAGTTACAAAAAGGCCAGGATTTTATTCACTACAACTGTCATTATCACTGTAACTGCTGCATTGTCACATTAAGGTCATATCTGCAGTGGGAAAGCATTGTACATTGTACAGAATGTGTAAAAATATTTAAAGCTACAATGACCTAGATATAAATCAAAATGCAATCCTTGATGATAGTGATGTGCTTGTTCTATATTAAAAACAAAAGCCATCGCCCATTCTATCATTGTGTGAATTTTTTCCATTACATGGGCTCTTTTTTTCTATCATTCACTTTGTGACTACTGAGAATACACTGCACATTCTCTCACTATCTAATACCTTCTGTTCTACATGCATTTGTCTGTGACAAGATACATTTCACACAGTTCACAACTTCACACGACCCTATGTTAAAGATTCCTGGGTCACTTATTATGCCATTTATTATGCAACCTCACTCTTCAAGTCATGCTGTATTTGCATACAAGTAGTCCACAAATAACTTTCAGCACAGTTGTAAAAAATCAATCACAAAACCTCTTTGCTTGTCATTCTCTTTCTTTCTTCTGATGCAAGACTTGAACCTGTCATTACACATTTTCCCGTACAGCGCAAGGTACGTTCTCCCCACCAGAGCCGAATCACCACACCAACTGGCATATTGAAGTGAACACCCAGTACAAAAATGACAGCCAAATCCACGTGGAAACAATATAGAAAATATGACGCAGGATAAATTCCAGAGTATCATGAACTACTCTCTGCCCCGTTAGTCTGCGTGTCTCTACTGGTTCGAACTTGGGGTCATGTGTAGTGTAAGCATCTGGGAAGATGCCAGTGTCATAATATTCCTGGAGAATAGCTTCCTTCTCTTCATAACGAGCATACAGCCACTTAGTCAACGTTTCCTCGTCTTTTGGAATCTGGTGGTAAAATAAGCAATGTTTGTAGTAATGAAAATAACCAATAATACAGCTGAGATGGAAACAATGTTTGCCACTCATCAATTATTTCTAAATAAACCATATCAAACAGACAAAACTTATTCCAATGTTATTATACTTTGATGAAAAAAGGGGAAAAAAAAATGCATGATATTAAAAACCTGAACATAAAAGAAAGTTCTACACTCCAGTGCTAATTCTTAATACAATAAAATATAAAATTTACCTCTTCAATATTATATCTGCGATAATGGAAGATTGTATCACACGCTGGTCTCCAGCCTCCAAAAATAGTTGGTAGGTCCAGTGGTCGTCCACCAGGGTATGCTATAGTGACATCTAGTAGATACTTGATCTTATCAGTATCATCTGAAAATTAAAAATCTATACTACAGATTATCTGCATATCTACAACCAACTAATGCATCCCATTTACCCTTCATATATATATATATATATATATATATATATATATATATATATATATATATATATATATATATATATATATATATATATATATATATATATGTATATATATATATATAAATTGACTATTTAGTTCATCTAATACTTGATAAATCCATTAACATACTATTTCCTTTGTCTGATACATCTTGAAGGACTTGTACAATACAACAGGTCTACCTTTACAGCTAGTTCACTATTAAAACAATTTTTACCTATACAATCAAGTCTGAAAAAATCTTTACTTATACAATCTATCACTCAGTTCTTGAATATGTTCTGAATATTTCAAGGTTCACCAACTACAAAAAGTATTTTGTACC